CAAGAGGCAGTAGTCAGAACAGAGCAGGGTAACACTGCATGGTTCAAAATTGGGAAGGGTGTACGCCAGGGATGCATCCTGAATCCTTTACATCATGTATTTTGGGTGGCTCTATTTTCAATTTCCTGAGATGAAAATGGCTTTTCCGTCAGTAAGCTGGGACCTGCACTAAATAATGATTCAGTCTACACATTAAAATATGGATCCTATGTATTACAAATGAAACCAAAAGTGTAAGTCTAACATCCCTCACACTATTTACCATGTAGTATGAAAAATGAGACGTACCCCCTATACAGAAAGTGAAGTATCAATAATAGAAAGATTAATAGAAGCTGGAATAATCCTATATGGAGTATTGTAACTAAGGACCAAGAATATAGAGAGTTCTAAATCTAGAGTCTCAAAACCCCTTTAAACTTTTAAAAACTGAGGCCTCAGGGGACGTCCATCAGACAGGTTATGATTACTGATTGAGATTAATATTTGAAATAAAAACTGAGACACTTACAAACATCTATTACTTCAGTAAAAATGACTATGCTAATGAAAAGAAAACTTGGTGATGAGGGCAACAAACCATATTACCCAAAATTTTAAAATTCAGTAAGGATAGTGGCCCCTTTTCACTTTTTAATGTCCACCTTACCTCAAGCCAATTGGATTCCTTTCTGTGCTGTTTTAACGGACATATATAAAGAAACATACAACAGTCTCACAGACCCGTCTGAAAAGGTCTGTGCACAGCTCTCCCCATCATGGGCTGAGAATCACTGCACCAGTATATAGCAGCTGCTCAAAAAACCAAAGGACAGATATGGAAGTAACAAATGAACATTCTGGTAGGACACAGTAAATATAGTCTATCTCAAAGAAACTTTTAAAATCATGCTTATGGATATACTGTCAACTTCATATTATTTCCTATAAATCAGAAAGCCGATGAATAAGGATGGCAAGAGAAGAAATGATACTTTTGAACTGTGGTGCTAGAGTACTGAATATCCCATAAACTGCCAGAAGAACAGACAGATAATCATGCTGGGAAAGGTGGAGGGAAGACATCCCTCCCCAAGATGGAGTCGCACAGTCAATATAACAATGGGTTAAAGCATATCAGAGATCATGAGGCTGGCACAGAATAGGGCAATGTCTTTACTGGTTGTTCAGAGGGTCGCTATGAGTCCTAATCAATGCGATTGTTAAGTTAGCTTAACAACATACACTGTCAAAATATAAAAGATTAAACATAATATGTTGTTGTTTTTAAGGGCTGTTGAGTTGAGCACAACTTTTAGTCATTCCATGAACAAAAGACCTGAACTCTGTTCTATTAACTGTCACCGCTTCTCTAAGTTCCTAGAGTTTCCAGAGGCATGCTGTTTAGGAAGTGGATGCCACTCCTGCTTCCAAGCCTGTCTTAATCTGGGAGCTCCAACAAGCACTGTCCACCATGGTAACCATTATGGCATCTGACACACCAGTGGCACAGCATTCAGAATCACAGCAACCCCAAGTAACCTCAGTACAGCAAACTGACATCAGCTGTACCAAAAAACTTCTCAGTACAACTGACAAATCTAAGAGGCAATTCCAAGTAAAGGCAGCATCACATAGAAAACAACCTAATCATTATTCACTGCAAATCACTCAGCCCCACCGTGCATTTGCATTATCTGGGAAGTTAAAATAAGGCTGAGTACACTGGAGTTATTTGAGAAGTTATCACAAGGATGTGTATGCATGCATACACGATATACAGGTCTCACAAAATGAAATAAAAGATACTTCTAAAATAGCTACAGAACAGCGCACTGATCTTAAAATCATAGTAAACAAATCTTTCCAAAAGAGTAAATATGTATAAGTGGATGAATACCTGTTAGAATTAAGAAATCCACTAAACAATGAATCCCAATTTTGCAGAACACCTGTTTACGTACCTGTAACATGCTGACTATCTCAACTTTGTTGAAAAAAATAAAAGATGTAAGAGTAGAAAGAAAGTTTTCTTCAAAAACAGATGGTGTAGGCAAAATGATGTCCTGGATATACTGTACCCTGTAAGTCTGATGTATTTTTTGCCTTAGTTCAGAGTCTGTTATTGGTATGACTTCCTTAAACTTTGCCGTTTTGGTTAAGAATTCTCTATGTCTTTTTGGCTGAGCCAAAGCAGGGTCATATTCAAGGCATCCCACGACATCCATGATACACTCATCAGAAAACATGACCTCAAACAGCGTTGCCTTATTTAGGAATAAGATCCCTCTAATAATTTCATACAAATGGTGTAAGCCTTCAGTGTTTTCCAAGTTCTCACAAGCTTGGAACAGTTGCAGTAGTTTTTTAATATAGCCTTCATTTTCCAAGGCCAGTGCCAGCTTTTCTCGACGAATAGGTGAGGATAGAACGGAGGTAACCAAGTCAGCAATCTCTTCAAGTTTATTGAGTTCACATGTGGGCAGGTCAATCAGATGACTGGTCTCAGGCATTTCTTCAAACCGTTCTTCTTCTGATTCATCAATGAGGTCCTGTGTGACTTCTACTGATGGATCCTTACCTTGAACCTAAAAAGAACCAAGCAGAGCGGGTTAGCTTAAGACACAAAATAACTCTAAACTCTAGGAACAAAAATCACTGACCTTAATTAAAAATACCTTATAAAGAATCTGGAATACATGCGCGCGCGCACACACACACACACACACACACACACACACAAACTAAACAACCAAACCCAACCAACCAACCACCCCAAAGCTGTTGCCATCTTCTTGGTTCCAACTTGTGGCTAAGTAATTTTATACCCCAAAGCAGAAATGTCCCATAGGGTTCCCAAGGCTGTGGTCAATCTTTAATCTTCAAGTTAATTGTCACATATTTCTCCTGCACAGCAGCTATTTCAAACTACAGACCTTTTGGTTAGCAGCCAGTACTTAAACATCAGGCTGCCAGGCCATTAAGAATACTGTCACTATTAATTTAAAGTGAATCTTGGCATAGGGAAATGATGTTTAGAATCAAGTATTTCAAACTAGATCACTGAATGAAACTTCCTAGTCTAAATATTTGGTTAATCTGAATCCTTGAGAGTATGTACACTTGTGATGTAATAACCATATGCGGGTGTTTCATGATCCCTATTAATTTTTAATTATGCAAAAGATACCTTTAAAAATCACCTGAGAAGCTTATCATAATCTAGGTTCACACTCAGTAAATGTAGGACAAATTATCAACTAGAAATGAACTGGTTTGAAGCACACTGCTTATGAATAAGAATCAAATGGAGTGTAGTAAACCCACTGTCTTTAGTGGATTTCAGCTCACAGAGACCCACCCAGTCTCAGGTTCCCAAGGCTATCAATCTTTGAAAGGAGTGTCTGTCCTTCTCGAGTGGAGTGACTGGTGGGATACAAAGCTTCTAACTTGTTTGTCAGCAACTCAAACATAACGTACTACACCATCCCCAAACCCTAAGCCAACTCATGGCCATCAAGCTGGTTCTAACACACAACTGACTCTTCGTCAGGTTTCTAAAGCTGTAAATCTTTATGGGAGAATACTCATCTTTGTCCTGAGGAATGGCTGGTGCACTCAAACTGTCAACCTCTCAATCAGCATTCCAGTTTCACCTTCTGTGCCTATATGCACTGTGCTACAAGGGAGAAAGCTCTGGTGGCTCTAATGGTAAAGAGTTGTTTGATTTTTAGTACAGAAGCTGCTCCATGGAAGAAGATGGGCAATCTCCTTCGGTGAGACTGACAGCCTCTGAAAATCCGCTGGAAGGTCAGCTATGAGTTGGCTCTGACTTGAAGGCACATAACACTTTCCTACCAGGGCTCCTTAAAGAGGAGATAAAGGTACCCATAGCAGAAGGGCAAAAGTGCAGGGGAAAGTGACATGCACATTAATCTGCATCAGTTTTATTAGATTTGAGGACAGAGACGAATTGGAGCATTATAAAGCTCCAATAAAAGTTGAGACAGAAGAGGATAACTACCTCTTATTGACTGAATTAAACTCCCAAATCCAATACCACGATGTAAGTACCATTGAAAGCAACTCTTCATTGGTTTTTTCAAGGCAAAAGATCTTTATAGGAAAAGACTATCTTTCCTCAACCGTGTGGTTGGTGCAATTTAATTGCAGATCTTTTCATGAACAGCCCAAGCTTAATGAAGCACATCACTAGGGCTCTTTGTTGTGTTATCAGATGTTGTCAAGCTGACCACGATTCATGATTCACAGAGATCTGATGAACAACGAACCCGAACCCTGCCCTAGCCTGTGCATCCTCCTCATTCCTGACATACCTGAGCCCACCGTTACAGTTTCACCTTCTGTGCCTGTAAGGAGCACTCTGATTGCACCGTCTTCCAAGACACATTTGTTTTTCTTTGGGCAATCCATCTTGTTGAGGGTCTTCCCCTCTTTTGCTGACGTTCCCACCTTTCTAAGCATGATGTTCCTTTCCAAGGAATAGTCTCTCCTAACATCAAGCCCACAGTACGTTAGACAAAGCTTCAGCATCCTTGCCTCCAAGGAGCACTCTGGTTTCACTTTCTCCAAGACACAGCAATTCTGCATAGGAAGGAACTGAAAAGAACATACCTTGGATTTGGTGCACTTTTTTTTCAGGCTTACATGTATCATCTTTATTGAGCATTTTGTGGATTTGGTGCACTTTTGTCTTTAAACTGGCACCACTACTCTTTAGCACTTTGGCGAGGTCCCTGATAGTAGATTTTCCCAATGCAACACAAACTTATTTCCTGACTGCTAGCACTGAAGGTACTGAGTGTGGAAGTTGAAATCGTTGACAACTTTTTTCATTTTTTTTTCCTCACAGAAATAAGCACACTAAGTCTGAAAGCCTGTACCTGTTACAGGGAGATTTGGTGCCATAGGCCAGAGAGCTGAGGTGCTTAATCAAAGGCCTCATATCTCTGGCAGTTCAAATCCACCAGTGGCACTCTGGGACAGAGATGAGCAATCTCCTCCCTTTATACTTACAGCCTTAAAAAACCTGCAAGAGGGTTGCAAAGAGTTGACAGTGAATTTGAAGACAGATGTGGGAATGAGAGTCCTCATGTTAATCAGGCAGCATTAGGGAAGGATGTTTCTTTTAGCAAACTCTTTTAAGACATAAAGAGAGATGTGAACAAGCAAAGGTGAGGGAAGAGAGATATCATGACACATGATGATCACCAAGAAGCAAAGGAATGCCAGGCCTACACTAAAAGACACAAGGATTCCTCCCAGAGACCAGAGGGACAATGTCTTCCCTTAGGGCTCACTCAAAACTAACTGCTATAAAGTCAGAATCAATTCCGAGTTGCCTCTCCAGTAGGTTTCTGGAGGCTACAAATCATCACAATGGAGGGGACCGCACACCCTTCTCCAGCAGAGTGGCTGGGTGAGTCAAGCCAGCTGAGGCTCAGCTTTCAGGGCTAGAAGAACAGCACCCTACAGACTACATCATCAGAACCATCCCCACGAGTCAGCACCATGAATTTGGTCCTCTAGCTTGCTAAACTACAAGAAAATAAAGTTGTTTGTTAAAGTCACTCATTAGTTTTAACACTAGATAACTAACACAGTATCAAAGAGGAAGAATCACCTACCTGCTAATTTAAAACCCCTAATTAGGAAGATTCTAGCTCCTGTAACAGGAAGGAGGAGGGGGTGATAAGAATTCCTTGTTACTAAATTTCAAGTGTCTGAATAGCCAGCCCTTAACTAAAACTAGAAGAAAAAGAGAAGACAAATTTGGTATAAAGGTAGAAGTAAAAGCCAGAAGACTGGCAGTATCAAGAAAAAGGAAAGAGAAGCTGAACGTGCAGTGAGGGTAAAAAGGTAAGATAAATCAGAGATTATGAAAGAGGAAGAAATCTGATGAGTTAATTTGTATTTCAAATAGATATATTTTGTGTATGTTTCAAACTAAACTGCTCTGGACACATTTACTAGGTTAGAGCATGCTTATTTCTATGTTATTGAGGATTAAGCCTGACAAGCTTCCAGGATTTTTGCTAAGCTTAATGTCACTGATCTGATCAGTCAATCCCAGATAAACCCAAATATCTAGCTGGATGCCTGCAGAGTTGCCTACTAAGCATTCCCGATTCTCCGACATGCATGGAAGCTATCAACACTGGGTATTAAAATACAAAAATTATATTTAAAAATGTCTAGAAATAAATGTGAATTAAAACATAACACCAAAATCACAGAAATCAGAACAACAAAGTGCCCAGAGAGCACTTTGCTAGCTAAAAACATACACACATCAAAAAAAGTTGGGGAAAAATCAAACTCAGGGGAGCTCTGATGGCCTAGTGGCAAGGAGCTGCAACTACAATCCCAGAGGCACACGGTTCGAATCCACCAGATGCTCTGCCGGGAAAAGGAGGGTCAATCTCCTCCTGTAACAGTCAGATCTGATCTGACGGTACACACACACAAAAAAATAATGTTAAAAAAAAAAAATCAAACTCAACACCTTAACACAATATCTCAATTAAAAAAAAACAACAACAAAACCCAAACAAACAAACAAACAAAAAAACCCCCAAAAACACAAGGAAAGCCTTAGTCAGGTGGGGTGGGGGGAACACGGACAATAAAGATTAGAGCAGAAATAACCAAAACAGAAAACAATCAATCAACAAAACTAATAGTTGTTCCTCTGAAAGGATTAATAAAACTGACAAAGTTCTGGCAAATCTAACCAAGTTAAACAAGGAAAAGACACATTTAACAGGATTAAACTATAAAGGGAGTAACATCAAAATAAAAAAAAAGAAATCAGATAATGTAATGTTATGAATAATTACATTCAAACAAATCTGAAAGGTACATGGCTCAAATCCACTAAATGGCTTTGAAGGATAAAGATGGGGAATCTCCTCTTGTACCGTTACTGCCTCTCAAAACCCACTGGGAAGTAATGGGTCAGCTCCAATTCAAAGGTACGCAACCACAAAGCAAAGAAAATTATTTTTATACATTCAATGCCAACCTATGGCTGGAAGCCTCTTTCTTGGCCAATGAGAGCCCAGGGTGCAGGCCTGGTTTCTTTGGAAATTCATTCGGGTCCTCGGACCTACTTTTTGTCTTTGAAATGAACATTCTCCGAAGTGGTATAGCACTGCTATGTCCCTTCTCTGTATTGAGGCAACTCTGGATTCTATGACACCAAATGGTGTGCCATTATATACTTGTTTGACAATGTTTGGGAGAGCTCACTGATTAAGACAGGCTTGGAAGCAGGAGTGACATCCACTTCTGAAACATGCCTGTGGAAACACTTAAGAGGAAGATAATAGTTCTCTTGTTTACAGGGTTGGTACTAGATGGCACTTAAAAACAATATATAACGTCAAATCCCTTACTTCCATTTTGGAGGTGGATGGAACAGGTGGAGTCTGTAATATGATGCTCTTGTTTTGGTCGAGAATCTGTGTGGATTGTTAGATTGTTTTTATTTAAGCCTCTTGTTTAGAGTCAACAAGGCCTCCTGGGGGCCCTTATATTTAAAAGTTGGGCCAGAGGGAATATATTT